GAGAGTTGAATGTTGATATAGACAGACTCAGGTTTTATCATTTATTAAACTGTCTTATCTTTGACACCTTAAAACAGATTATGATGAATGTTAAAACTGCGGTTTAGTGTAAAATCTATGAATCGTATTAATTTGGGAGAAAGGATTATGGATTTGTTTTTTCTGGGGTCAGTGACAAGTGACCAGACTCAAACTTAGTCTCTGATTGTTATTATACCACCGACATCACTCAGGAAACAAACTTCCTCTGAAATAAAAAGGAAGCCCTGAGTTGATGAAACCTGTTTTCATGTGACGGGATCAGAAGGTTGAAGAGTTAAGCTGGTGTGTGTCTCCTGCTCTACAACATGACATCAGACAGTGAGATCTCTCTGGTGTATCCAACACACTCTGGAGGTCTCTGGGGTTACAGCAGTCCAGCAGAAAAACATACAGGGGCATCCTGAACACTACGTGTGGGACTACCAACCAGCTTCTTCTTTTTTCTAACTTTCTCACACACAAACACTGTAACACTTCGCCTATAACTGTTTTCAGACATGAAATGAACCTCATACATGTTCCTGACATGAACTAAAGTCTGTACATGTTCCTGTCATGTTCTGGATCTTCTCCTGCAGCCTCTGGTAAAACATCTGTAAAATGTCAGAGTGAGTCCATGAGAGAAAACCACAGGAGAACATCTGGAAACGTCTCAGTGAGCGAGTGGACAATCTGCTGCTGCTTCACAAACAGTGACTACACAACATGTCCACACAACATTTTACACAGATCATGTCTGAAAACTGTTTATGAAGCGGCTGATGGATTTGATGACATTAAAAATGTTCTGTACATCTGGAACAAAAAAGATAAATAAAGGAGGAAGATGAAAAACTAATTATTCTCTCTGGGGAAACACACATGATCAAGAGCTCGGATATGTTGTGAGCTCCATATTATTCTACCGTGTTTGAATCTCAACAGTCGCTCTTCTCTCATTCTTTAATCATGACTAAATATATAAAATAACAAATAATAATAATTTGCTTTAAATTTGCTGTCGGCCTTGAAGAGTTTTGTGATTCAGACCTGTTGTGGTCCGGTCCCACTTGGCTGTATTTATACTCAGCACTGGTTTTCTCCTTCTGGAAGAACTGGTTCAGACGGGCCTTGGCGTTCTCCAGGGTCCAGTTACCGTGAAGATTTGCGTTCAGGTCCACCTCCTCTGACTCCAGAGTCTATGAAAAGGAGAAGATGGTTTAATTAAGCTCTAATAAATCTGGAGTATTGTGTCTGTGGAATTCTGAGACATAAAATTTACTTGGGTTGAGAATCTTTTCCAGAAGTGAATTCTGAGAATTCTGGTTGTTAGACAGGAAGAAGAATTTCTGCTGGTTTCAACCAGTTTTCAGACTTTTATGACCATTATATAAGAAACTTTAGACGTATGTCAAGTAGAACCATTTCTCTTGTATTTGACTTTTTGCTTTGCCGTCAACACACTTTGTACACTCTGTTTTTAAAGGTTCAGTGTGTAGAATTTAGTGACATCTAGTGTTGAAGTGTCATGTTGCAGCTGAACACCCCTCCCCTCCCCCTCTCCTTCCAAACATGAAGAAGAACCTGTGGCAGCTTCAGTCGTCATAAAAACTCAAAAGGTGTTTAATTTGTCCAGTCTGGACTAATGTAAAAAACATGGCAGCCTCCGTAGAGAGGACCCCCTAGATGTAAATATAAAGTATTTAAATATAAAGGGCCTTTTCTGGGGTAAAGAAAACTACAATTCATACAATTTAGATGAAACGAACGAGTGAAAACATCACGAGGATTATTCTACATTAAATATCTGCCAGTAGATCCTTTCACCTGAATCTTACACACTGGACCTTGAAGTGCTATATAAATAAAGTTTATTATTATTATTATTTGTCGATGATCAGTTATGTGCTGGTCTGTTTGTAGTTTAATTAGTGTGTTAATATCTGTATCACAGAGAACTACAACACCCAGGGACATTTCAAACTATACATATACTGTATACACATACATATTCATAGACACCAAAATATTTCCCTTTAAAAAATTGATTTAAATATGCGACAGAAGTAGCCGAAAATGAAGGATAACTTTATTTAAACCTACCTAAACATATTTTAGACCAACTACGTTATATTTGACATAATTTAGACTTTTTTTAAGGCCCAAAATTCAGAGGTTTACATTTTGGACCTTGTAATACTGTGGGAACTCGGAGGAAGACATACCGCCTGTGCTTCCTGTTCGTCTCTCTTGGCGTAGTACTCCTTCAGGTTGGCGCCTCTGTCCCACTGAGCTCCTCCTCCTCCACCTCCCCACGAAGAGGTCCCTCCTCCTGAGTAACCCAGACCAGTCACTCCGGGAACCGGCCCGCTGCTGCCGCTCTCCTCTGAACCCAGGGGAAAAAAACAGGATGACGACTGTGGAGAATCAATCTGTGTTTTCTAGATCATGAAGTGAAAAGAAGAACCCTGGTTGAAATGAGCTTGTTTCAGTTACTGTTCGTTTCATTAACAGATTAAGAAAATAAACTGTGACTGTGGTGTGTGCATGAGTACAGGGTGACCCCCGACCTGCCGACCACAGAATCTTAGTGGGTAGATGTTCAAGAGGAACAGAACGACTCAGAGCTTCTTTTTTTTTTCTCTGAACGTTACCTATTTGAAGGTTTGAACTCAGCTCTTCAAAACACACGTCACATGACCGCTCACGTTCACTGGTCATGTGATGTAAATAGGAAGTCGATTGTATCTGCAGTTTGTTGCTTGGTAACAGAAAATCCTCTGAAGGAGGAGCAAAGACGAGGTGGAACTGTTCCTGACAGGAAGTGTTAGCGACGCTTTGTGTTCACCGCTGGTAGTCGAGTCATGTGACTGATGAGAACCAATCAGAAGAGAACGTGGGCGTCACCGTGTACTAAAGTCTCAGTTTGTGTTCAGACTAAAACACAAACCAGAGTTTCAAACTGAAACCAGATCAGTTCACACACGTCTCTGATCCAGAGGCTGGAGAACTCCACCAGAACAACTTCATCGTGCAGATGGAGCCTTGAACTGTTACAGCAGTTTCTTGTTAACGTGTGATTTAAGTGCTGGATGTAAGCTGACAGTCAGTGTGGAGGTGGATCACAGTCAGAAAACCAGATCTAACATTAATGCAAATCAATACATTTACAGCGTCGTTGTTATAGAAATGACTCATGTTACCGTGCTCAGATTTCACCACGAGGTGCGGGGGCAGCGGACCACTGGAGGGGAGGGCTCCAAAGGCGCCTTTTCCACCGCCATCTGGCTGATCACAGACCGGAGCGCTCGCCTGGAGACACAAGACACACTTTCAGTTACTGTGAGTTATTCAACATGACATCAGGAAGCGATGAGGCTCAGAGCTCCTGACTATTGATGAGATGGTTTAAGGGTCAGTTTTAAAATGATCCATAATCAAAGTGGTAGTTGAAATATGATATTACAGAAAGCTGCTGTATAAAGCCTCATTGTTAGTATTAGTATTAGAATCTTAAAATTTGTTGCATAAATTAAATACAACACTGTCCAGTGTTTGCCACAGAATTAATTCAGTTTATGGCCGTAATGAGGTTCACGTGCACAGAGAGTCTGAGTGACAGGCACACAGACTGAATGATGTCACAACTGCAGCTGAAACTATGAGGTCTGACTGCATGGACAGTAACAATGTTATGGACCATAGTCAATCAAGTGAAAATAAGCATGTGGAAGCACAACAGCATGAGAGAGAGCATGCTTCAAATAGCGCTGCACTCGACATGTTTGAGATCGCTTACGTTATTATAAGAAGGTAGAAAAGAAATGTTAGTGACACAATTCACTTTATCACCACCAGCTTTGGACTATGATTCTGTCACATATTACATTTTACAGACAAAACTAAGAAACAGGAAAATCTCAGAATAAAAGAGTAGGATTTTGACAGCTGACATCTCTGGACCTGCTGCGTAATAAAACCTCTTTAGGCAGAGAAGCCACTTCATATATCTTTGATTCCTTCTCATTGTTCCCTGGAAAAATAAAAACACTTGTAATTCACTGACCCCCACAGACGGGACCTCTGCTGCGCTCATTTCCCCGATTCGCACCAGGTAGTTGACAAAGTCTCTGGCTGCATTGGTCTGAGCGTCCTTCTTGTTTGTGGAGTTTCCCATCCCAATGTAGTTGAATCCATCAACTCTCACCTGGACGCACAAGAGTTTAGAGTTAGACATCAGCTAAGTTAAGCTGTTTTCAGGCATGAGTTCCTGAAGTAGTCTAGAATATTTGGGTGCAGACTTTCTCCAGAGTTTGTCTTTCCCATATGAAGAAGCAGCAGGAGATTGTCCGGGTCAGACACATTCACAAAAACGGGAAAATGTCTGCAACATTAAGGCGGAGCAGCTTATCTAAAGCAACTGATTCAGACCTCTGTGTTTTTACATACGCCGCCTGTGGATAACTTCAGGAGAAGATCCAGGGTTCAGTGCAGGTCTGAAAGAGGTCAAGCACAAAACTCACCTCACACATGAACTTCTGCCTGTTTTTGTTCCCCACTGCTCGGATGTCATAGGTGGGAGTCAGTTTCTTTTTCCCGCACCAGGCGTACAGAAAGTTCTTGATGTCCACCATGGCGGACTGAGGGGTGGGGCCGTTTCCTTCTCTGTTGACCCCTGAATCTGTAAAATCCATCATTACACAACAAACTTCATAAGAGCCACAGGCGCCACTCAGAATCCAAACAGAAAGTACACGTGTCACTTCACTTCATCATGTGTTGAGTGAATGTGTTCAACCACATGAAAAATACCATGTGGTGTAAATGATGACTGGTTGGGATGAACATCTGTGTTTAGGGCTCAACATCACAAAAGACAAACTGTCATCACCAAACTTTACTTTAAAAAACTAGAGTGAGTCTGTGATGACAGAAACTTCCAGAATGAGTAACACTGTAGTTATTGGCTGCGGGTGGGAAAGAAGCCGAGGCTCCTGTAACAACAGATTATCTATTTCTTCTGATACATCTGGCTGCTATGACAACTGAATTTCAACAAAGTAATTCATCCATCTATTCATCCATTCATCAGTCTATTCATCCATCCTTCTATCTATCCACCATTAATTCATTCATCCATCCATCCATGAACCATTAATTCATCCATCCATCAATTCATCCATCTATCTATTAATCCATCAATTCATCCATCCATCAATTCATCCATCCATCAGTCTATTCATCCATCCACCATCAATTCATCCATTCATCTATCTATCCACCATTAATCCATCCATCAGTCTATTCATCCATCCTTCCATCCACCATCAATTCATCCATCTATCTATCCACCATTAATCCATCCATCCGTCTGTTCATCCATCCATCTATCTACCATTCATTCATTCATCCATCTCAGCGGTGAACTGATGATTGTGTTGTGTCGCAGATAACCGGATGTGGAGTTTGGTTTGCAGGACCAGACAACATAAAGAAGTGTTACACCAAACGTACAATGGAGCCAAATTATATAATCAGTGGGTTCGATGCTAACAGCAGCTGTGGCCCGATGCAGAGCTAACTGTGCTAACTCGTTAGGCTCCTCACAAGCACCGGCCCCTGAGCACAGCTAACAGCAGCTAACAGCAGCTAACAGCAGCTAACAGCAGCTAACAGCAGCTAACAGCAGCTAACAGCAGCTAACAGCTAGTTCAAGTGTTCACGAACCCGCGCACTGAGCCAACGTTAGCACAAAGCTCCTGTTAGCTCAAGTAGAAGCCCAGGCTAAAGTTAGCTAGCGGCGAAAGTTAAGAAATACACAGCGCAGTTAACTAACGACTTATTATGACTAGTTACTAGTTATTGTTCTACTCACAGTCAGAGCGTAGAAGAAGACACTTCCGCAACGTGAGAAACGGAGCGTGATGATTGGTTAACGTCAGACAGGAAGTGTGATGATTGGTTA